GAAAAATCTATTATTGATAAAATGAAGAATATTCGGGATAGCGGTCAATTTTGTAAGTTTATAAATAAATATAGAGGAAGAAAATATTTAACAAATGTAATTTCTCTATCGGACTGGTTTCAATTTTTTACGTCTCTCTCAGGGCCGCGAGTTTCGCTTGAGATGAATACCAGGATGCAAGACATCCATTATTGATATAATGGATATATAGATGTTGATATTGAAATGGATGAAATTATTAATAGTTTAAAGAAATATAAAACAGGAAAATCTCCTGGCCCAGATGGTATCCCCGGCGAATTTTTTAAATATCTACAGCAAAGCGGAATTAATAAATTAAGCATTCTATTTAATAAGATTTTAGAAGAAGAAAGACTTCCTGACTCCTGGACACACTTTTCATAGACTTCGTCAGGGCCTTTCCCTCAGTATGCCACGAGTTGCTATGGCAGAAATTGACTAATCTTGGAATCAGCTCAAAATTTATTAGAATTTGCAAAAATTTGTATGATAGAATCAAATTGGCGATTCGCACTAAAGATGGAATTGCAGAAAAAATCGATATAATTGACGGCTTCTTACAAAGTGAAATACTTAGTCCTATCTTGTTTGCTCTGTTCTTAAGTGACTGAGAAATTTTTTTATAATAAGGGTGTGCGGGGTACTGCTGTATATCATGAAAACGAAATTTTAGTAGTTGCGTATACTGATGATCTTGCGGTCTTTGCTGATTCACAATCAGACTTGCGTAGAAAAATAAGTAGGCTTGAAGAGTATTTTAAAGCTAATAAAATGAAGGTCAATAAAGAAAAAAGTAAAATACTTATTTTTCAGGGAGGTAGGCCAAAAAAAGATCTTTCATTTAAATGTGAAAAGGTACCTTTGGAAATTGTTAGCACGTTTAGTTATTTAGGAGTAACTTTTTCTAGTTCGGCAATGTCGCTACAGGCGTTCCTTCAGGTAAAGACTTCTGTAAATATGTCAATAGCTACTATACTAAGAACAATAAGCGCATTTAAATTAGATAATTGGTACACCAAGGAAACACTCTTCCAGTCTCTAGCGAGGAGTGTTCTTTTTAAGGGTATTGAAACATGGGGCTTAAAATACCTAGATGAAAACGATAGAATTCAAACTAGTTTTTATAAAAGACTACTTGATATACCAAAAAAAAGTCCAAATTATGCAATTAAACACGGATCACAGTTAATTTCATTAACTGCGAAGGCGATTGGATGGGTCTTTAATTGGTTAGAAAAAATCGATAATATAGAACACACAAGATTTCCAAGAATATGTCTTAATAGGCTCATTGTTCTTGCAAATAACACGAATAATTCATGTAAACTTAATTAATTTCAACAGTTTAAAAAGATACTAAACGAATGTGATGTAAATTGCCCGGTTAGAGATATATCCGATTTACGGGCACTGATTGATTGTAAGGATTTATGTATGAGAAATTATACAAACAAAGTACTGAATAAATTAAATTCAAGAATTAAAGAGTCAAGCTGTTCAGAAGTTTATCCATTTATTGTGTCTCTCTTGAATGATGTATCTTATTTAAAACGAAATACCCCATTTTACCTTTTGAAATTATTGGCACAATGTCGGCTCATTTCCTCTTTCTTTCCTAGGTTGAAATTTCAAAATAAAATTATTAAATTAAATCCAATGGATAAATATTCACTCTGTTTTACTCGAAAACCGCCAAGGCCCTGATCACTTTTCCTTAAGTATCAATCTGGAGCAGTGTCACGGCTATATGGGACCCAGACGCTGATCAGTTTCTTTGACATGGACGACACTAGAGATAGGAAAAACTGGTGTGGACCCCATCAGGATCCCATTTCAATTTCTGCACGGGAAGTTGAATAATAATTTTAGATGATCTAGTTTATTTAAAATGATACTGTCTATCGCAAACAATATTTTTTTAACATTTTACAGATACAGGCAACTCTCAAAAGTGAAAACTTTCCTGAAAATTTCCCTTTCTCCAATGTTTAAAACTGACGGTAGCTTAAGTCACGTTTTTTTCTCTTTTTCAGTTCAAAAGTAAAAATTTTAAAAAGTTTGTTAGATAAACTACTATATATATACTACGGTGGCTTCGCCCCCCTGCGCGCTTCGCACGCCAACCCCCTATTTTTTATTGGTTTTGTAGATGTTTGAGTTAATGTTTAGACAATTTCTGGAATTTAAAACTATTATTAATATTTTATTATTTATTTCTTTAAATGTCATTTACGAATTTTATTAACAATAATTTTTATTATTTTCAATTTTTAAAACAAAATTTATCTAATTTTTTTAATTTTACAGCTAAAATTTGACCTACATTTAAGGTTATGTTCGTTTTTTGGTCATTTTCCTTCAATGTTTGAACTAAATTTTGAGGTTATGTTTGTTTTTTTTGTCTTTTTGCGCTAAATTTTGGCCTAAATTTTGAGGTTATGTTTGTTTCTTGGTCGTTTCCCGACAAAATAACTCAACCCTGCTAAAAATAAAATCAGAAATCAGTCTCAAAACGTCAGAAATCCTGACGTTTTGAGACTATTTTGATGTTTTGAGATGCTGCTGACTAATTCTGACTTAAATAGTTTTTATGGGCCTGACGTTTTCTAAAAAGTGACTATTTCTCACTACGTTTTATTTTTTTTGTAAAAAGGGTTCCAAGAGAGGTACCAAGGCCACTCAAACCCACCATATAACTCTATTATATTATATATTCCCTTTTTCCAATAGAAGGGTCCTTTCGAGGGTCCATCAGGTTTTATGACTTTTTAATGCAAAATAAAAAATTATTTAAATTTAAATAAATATTTTTTTAAATGTTATATTTGTAATTTATAGATTTTAACGATTCCAATGATATAAAACATTATGTAAAAACTCTAAAATTACATAATGATTATACAATAAATACTCCATTAATTAAAATTAATTCTCAATAATTTAAAAATATTTGCAAAAAATTTTATATCGTTGTAATTGTATTAACATGTACATTACGAATATAATATTCAAAAATTATTTTTTTCAAATGCAACAATTTTTAATTTTGCAATGAAAAGCCATAAAACCATAAAAGATCCTTCTGGCCTATACTTTTCTTTTTGTCCTTTTCTAACGTACATATAATATACATGGAATCACGTTTGTAAGACAAGGACAGAAAAGGGAAGGCGTCAATGACTACGACTATACATTTAAAGTCCCTACTTCAAATTTTTATTTATTATTTTACAGTAAGCTAGTTTCCTTACATTTAGTTATAAGAAAGCAACATATGTTGAAAACCTATTCTTACCACTGTGTTAACACTATATATATATATATATATATATATATATATATATATATATTTGAAAAAAATTAGAAATCGCTGGCTATTTCACATAAAAGTTTATTTTTTTACAACTAGATGAGCAAAAAAATTCTGGTCTCTTGTAAAATAGAATATATGAAATGATCGCTCAATCAATCTCTGAGCGAATTTGATCCAGTTTTCACTAAATATAAATTTGATTTGAACCAAATATTGCATCTAATTATAGTGCAGTATGCTAAAAAGAAAAATTAAAATTAGTAATTATTTAGTTGATTTGTGGAAGAATTATGTTAAATTGAATTTTAATAATATAGTAATTAATATATGCATATTAATTAATTTTTATCATTATAATTAATGATAATGATAATGATAATGACATCACAAATAGTCACAGGGTTTAATGATTTATGGTATGGCCAAAAAAAAGGGTCTCCGACCCTCATAATAAATCTGACTACTATTGACGATTCTTTGACTGAACCTCACTTATTGTGGTGTTCTGTGACTGCAATCGTAACAAAAACAGTCTCAAAACGTCAGAGATCGTGACTAATTTTTTGACGTTCTGTGATTTTATTTTTAGCAGGGAACCTTAAAATTTAGTTCAATTTCGGCGGAAAATCCACCTCTCCTTCAACGTAAGGAAGGAGGGGGGCCTTGCGACTATATTCACAGTTTTGAAACGATCATAACCTCAAAATTTATGTCATTTTTGGCGGGAGACGGGGGACCTGCGGCTATATTGAAAGTCTTGAAATGAACATAACCTCAAAATTTATGTCATTTTTGGTGGGAAATACGGAGAGAGGGTAAGGGAGGGGGCAGGACTTGCGGCCCTACTAAGAGTCTTGAAACGAACATAACCTTAAAATTTAGGTCATTTTTTGCCAGGGAGGGGGTGAAGGGGGGGACTTGCAGCTATATTCATATGGGTCATTCCATATCAAGTGTAACCAACTATTGTACTATTCATGACAAAAACATGGGTTGGCACACCCTTACCTAACCTTGTCAAAAACATGAGTTGGGTACACTTGACATGGAATGACCCATCCTTGTCAAAATTTCTGAAACAGCGGCGGCGGCTGCGGCGAAATCTTTTTATAATATATATATATGTCCTTCCCTATCCCATATTTCACATTTTCATCCTGTTTAAGAATCAATTTTGTGTTGACCTTCACTTACGAATTAAAAGAGCGCTGGCTTAAAAGTCTAACTTTCGAAGAAACAAGCGATGAAAAAGTCGATAAATATAATTGAACATTAACATTAAAAATTAATTTCAATAATTATTATAAAAAAAACTAAACAATGCTACGAATGTCTAAAGTTCATAATACTACTGCGCATTTCTTAATATAATATTTGATTCATTATTACCAGTTTTATAATTTGAAAAACAATTATTGTTCATTAAATATATTATCAAAGATGTCTATTAGACTCAAATGAAAATTTCCGTAATTAGTCCTGTACATTAGGGTGGTTCAAGAAATGCAAGACACGATGGTACTTACTAAAACAAGATATTAAAAATAAATAAACAATAATACGGACATCACATTACTATTACGTCAAGAGTGTACACTTCAATAAACTAGTTAATCCCCCTCGGGGTTTCGATAATTGTCTCATTTGTGAAAAATGAAGTTCTTACCTTGAAAATATCTTCCGAACCAGATGATCCTGAGATTGGTCCAGCTGTGGCTCGTTTTTTCTTCTCTCTGCCAACTCCTTCTCACGACGAACATCAGCCACTTTCCGAAAAATTAGCTAAAAAAACATAAGTTAAAAACTTTTAAAAATCAAGTTCAACAGGAAAAAATCGAACAAATGTATAACTCGCACAGAATAAATTAATAGATCGTGTGTTAGAAGCGGCTGAGCGAAAAGGTTTAGCATTTCCCGGGATAAAATGAATAGTATTCGAAAAAGTATACACAGTAATCGGAGTGTTCGAAATAGTATTCCAAACGGTATTGAAAGTATACAGAGTATACCAAACAGTATTCTAACTTGTATACAACATCTCCAAAGTAAACCTGAAGGGCTCCCGTAATATTCGAAACGTATACGACAGTATACTGAGTAAACTAAGCTGAATCTTCAAATGGATCATCTTAGTTTTCTAAGTATACCAAAGTATTCAGAGTAGTCTCGAAGGTCTCCAGAAGTCTCTTAAAAATATGAAAATCTTCCGGAGTAAATAAAATGTATACTACAGTCTCTGAATTTTTGGATACTTAATTGGTGATACAATACATAGATGGCGGAAGTAAGATTTAAGGATGACATCGACAAATAAATGAAGTAGGAATTTAAATTTTGACTTTTTTAAGTAACACTGATAATTTCATCGCTTTCAAATCTATATAACTATTAAAAAACTTTATGGATTTTAAAAAGTAATAATAACAAAATTCTTATTACTTATATTTATGGTGTTTAATTTATAAGTATGTTTTTTGAGATTTTTCATTTAGTTTTCTATATAAAAAAAGCCTTGCATAATAAATAGAATTACATTACGTATTTTATTCAAATTCCAACATATTTACAGGTTCTATTACATATTGAACTTCGTTGCTAATATAAATGTAGTAACAAACCAAATGAAGATTTCGTACATCCACTGCATAAATTTCATTGGTAATACTTTCACACTGATTTATAAATGAAATAGGTATCTTGTCTTCCCCAACTTGAGTATAAAAAGAATATAAATTTTGAATTTTTCGAATAATCGCAAAATAATGTGCTGCATTACAATTATCACTACAATGATTTTGATAATTACAATTCGAGAGTTTAATAAAACAATGAATTTTTCCATAATAAAAATAACCATTTTGATGATATTTAATAAACATTGAGTTAGTTTTACTAGATCTTTGATACAATTCTGATGTAAAAAGTATATTTGACTTGAGAAGCCTAAAAAATAATTTTATATTTAAATCACCGAAGTCGACAGGTAAAGATTCTAAACCTTGAAGAACAATATTGGATATTCTGTTAGGATTTTTAAAAGCACCAACTACTGCTACATTTTCAAAAACGTATTTAACCTTGTATACTTGTCGTTTTTCAATAGTATTACAAAAAATGGATGCTAAAGTATCAGGACGCATTTTGCTTTTAAGTTCTGGCATGCTCAGAAATACACCAATACCTGAACAAATTTGCATTTGAGCAAATTTTGTACCCGTCACTAATGACTTTAATGTCCCATTTGCACTTTCAAAAGTAAAACATGACGTTGTAAAAAGGGGACCAAAATCTATTACATTTTTTGGAAGATGTAGTAAGCTATGAATATTACTGGTCATATTATTTTCACCATATAGATCTGCAAACTGCATTACAAATTCATCGAGCATACTTTGAGCAATTTTAATTGTTTCATCTGAGACACTAGGTTGACTTAAAAGATATATACTGTGAATCAAGAGAATGTAATGATTAAAATATAATTCTGTCATGACAAGTTTCATAATTGGCAACGAGTAATAATAAAACCAAGTTTTTAATTCAGTAGCTTTTAAATATGCTAAGTGATCGATGATGGAACGAGGTAGGCGTTTCACATAATCTGGTGGACTAATAGAACAAATTTTTTCATCTACAATTCTAAGTAAATTATGAAATATGCCATTAGGGGATTTAAACCATAAAAGCAGCAAAGCTTTTACAACTCCCAGAAACACACAATGCATAGAATCAATTGCTGTAGAACGAATATAATTAGACGTTATTCTTGAAATAATTGTCTCTCCCATGACACCAAACACGGATACATTGAAAGTTTCAGCTTCCATGACAAGTCTATTTGTTTCTTCTTGGGTTCTCATTTGAAGCTGTTCTCTATAAGGATACATTCTGTGTAATGGATTATTATCAATCGGTTGTGTTTGAATGAGACATTTCTGACAACCATATTCTGAATTAAATTGTTTCATATTAAGGAATAGTGCTTTAGCTGGAAGATCACAAGTTCCACAAATGACCGCGCCACAAACTCTCACCGCGTCTCACCGATCAAAATCAATACCATCTTTTAGTGCATCCAAATCATCACAAGTATTTTCTAAAAATAATGACGGCAAAGGCTTTTTATTTCCAAACCACAACCTTGCAAGTAAGAGATTTTCTTTCCTGTTTCGTTGTGTATACGGCAATTCGTTGATAGACAAAAAAAATGGCCAAATAGAGAATTTAGAAGATTTATATAAAGCAACTCCATCTGAATTCCATGTAAATGAAATATTATTGGGATTCTATAACAAGTTTGGCACCTCACAAAGCCTTTGGTAAATTTCTCCATCATAGATATCTTCATAGTTGAAAATGTTTTTTTTTCTTCTTTGATAACGCCATCTAAGTTGCTGAAAGAAACCTGGTCGTTTATATAATTTTTTTAATTGATTTAATATTGACATTTCTATAAAGTATGAAACTTGTATTTGAGGACACTTTTCGCAAATTGACTGTTGTGAATCCAATTTGGTAAAACATGAAGAACAATAATAACTTTTTTTAAGTGGTATATCAATTAAATCGAAATGCTTTTTAAATAAATAGAGACTTTTTTTGCACAGATTGTTTGCCGGACAATGAATAGAAATCAGTTTTAGAAGGGCACTAAAAGCAGCGCCTGAGAGGGAAAATCTTAGAACAAATGTAAGGGTACACATTAAACTTTCACTTAGTGTAATGCGTGCACCGTCATATAATAATGGATCGTTATTTTCATTTGGTTGTTCTTCTTGATCATTTGGAGGTTCAAAATCTGGCTCATCAGGTCCAGGAACGTTTGGAAGCATTTGCTCTTCAACATCATCCTCATCTTCCTCATACTCTGTAGCAGAAAGCCACTCGTCACTAGATTCTTGTTCATAAATGATATTTTCTCTTTCTAAAAAAGCAAATAAGTTAGTAATTTGTTATTAATATTAATTTTTTTTAAATATTAGGAAAGATATTTTTACCTTCAGGGAGTTGTTGATCATTTCGAAAATCATTTTCAAGCTCAAAATTTTCAGAGTCACTGAAATTCAAATTCATAAAAAATAACATTTTGTTATCACCTTATTTTTATTAAAATATGCAATTAAGAAATAACTAAATACCTTGGAGCATCACTGTCATTGCTAAGTTCATTCACTGCATTTGTTTGTTGTTGATTATTTCGATTATTTTCACCCTCAAAATTTTCAGATTCACTAAAATTAAAATTCATGAAATATAAGACATTGATATATTTTCATAAATTTTAAATGAAAATTAACGTAGTCACACACATGCACAAATGTGTGAGCGTAAATACGAACGTTTTATTATATTATAATTAGGAGAGATGTGACAAATAGTGGGACACTTTTTTTTCAAAGACATATTAATATGTCAATTTTATATATTTTTGAACGCTTTTTGGTATTACCATAAAGTTTGGATTCTTTTCTACACATTGCACACATTCGCTTTTAAGATTATATTGTGATTAAATAGAAAAATTTGATGTTTTTGGAACTTGATACATTTTCAATTGTATTCAAGTTTCATATGAAAAATTGCTCTTATTTTTTAACATTTACAGTACTGCTGATCATGAGTCATAACTTAGTCATAACCTAAAAACAATTTGGCGCGAAATTTGAATAGTCATTCTCTTACCAAGTGTTACTTTTAAAATTTTGTCAAACAATAATTAATAGTATAGCTGACACAACTTATAATTAGTATTGCAAACATCCACGTTTCATAAACTTAAATTTTTGCCTGTCCCAGTGTTGAGTATCCCACTTTTTAAACGAATCAATGGTCTGAAATTATTTAAATAAAAATTGTTTATCGAATTTTAATATATTTTAAGTTATTGGATGTCATTCTTAAAAACATAAGTAAAAGTACAAATTTCTTTTATTCAAAGAAAATTTTTTTGAATCAAAGAAGCTTTTTTTGTTTCAAAGAAAACAAAAAACTGCAAGAAATTTATTTGATTCAAATGTTTGGTTACTTGATTATTATTGAATAAATATGTATTTGTATGCAATAATTATAATTTGAGTCAATGAAATGGTATTTGTTTTAAATACAAAAATTATTGGTTCAATTACAATTTATTTAATTAAAAAAAAATTGAGCGTGTCAATACAATACTCGGACGAGCGCTCCGCCGCTCGCTTTGATGGTAGTCAGGTAGCAGTGGGAGAGCTATTGTTTGCTATTGTTTGCTACCATAATAAGCTCGATTGTATTATTACGTAGCAAACGCACACCAAACGTTCCGCCGCTCGCGCAACTTCAAAGTTTAAACATTCACCATTTTGTTATCAGTTGTTCAATTGCATTGTAACTTTCCAGAAAACTTCTTTGGATCTTAATGAAAAACTTTCTCACTGGAAGTTTGTTGCTGCTGAAAATTTGTCGAACTTCCCCGCATTGAGAAAATTGCACTTCACGAATTTCGCAATGTCTCAATAAAAAATTAATAACTTTTTTATTTTTAATCAAAACAACTTTTTTCTTTTTTAGTCACTCGTAGGATATAATAACACGTATTTTCATTTTTGTTTAATTGAAAAACTCGTAAAATTGACTGAGCTAGCGCGAGTTGAACTACTAAAAATTACTGGCAAGAAGAAGAAATTTTTCAACTATATACTGTTAAATTTTTCTGCTCGAGAGAAAAAATATGAAACTTTTGGAGTATTTCTTCGTTTTGAAAGGTTTGACACATATGGTTTGCATTAGGATGACCTGACAAGGGTTTC